TTTCTCTTATCATGCCACTCTAACTTGCAATCCCCTCCTCAAAAACCCTAGCCACCTCAACCACCCCCAAACACCAATCTCTTCTTTCATGACCTCGAAAGTGTGAACTATGATCCATGTAAGTAAAACCCATGTTTGATGCAAATGAAAATCATACTCAGTGTTAAATGTGGCTTGTACAAGTGCAGATTGTGTCTAGCGCAAGTTACTATGACCTCATTCTCTTTGCCTCTCCAATCATCACTCCAATTCTTTGCATCTCTTGTACTAATATCCTTAACCCTCCCTTACCTTTGTAGCCCCCACAACAACCTCCCTTACCTCCATGAGCTACCAACCCAGCCCTTTTCTACAACCCTCTTTCTATGAGTGTAAAAATGGCCCGTGGGTGGCCCGAAACCCGCCCGCGGCCTAGAATGAGCCCAGGCCATTTAGGCCCACTTGGGCTCAAGCCCAGTTTGAGCCCTTGGACTATCGTTTTGAAGCCCGTCCCAGCCTGTAAGCCAGCCCATCGACCTACTTAAGGCCCATTTAGGCCTCGGTCCGAAGCCTACCTCTCCCGAGGCCCAGTGTATTTTTTAATGGAAAATAATAAAATTTTGGTAGAAAAAATAAAAAAAATTAGGCCCGCCCAAGCCCATTAGGCCGGCTTGCCCAAGACCCGAATACCCTTGGGCCTTGGCCTAATTTTTTGGCCTGTGGACTGGCACGGCTAGGCCAAAATTTTGGCGGGAGTCCGCGAGACCCGACATGAGCCAAGCCGGGCCAGATTTATACCCCTACCTCTTTCCAAGTTTGAAGAAAGAGAAATAGAAGTGGATAATGACTAATAATTAGGACATAGATTGAAAAAAGATAGAGAAATGGATATATTTGCTTTCCAAGTGTACAACAATTTTCAAAAGCGTTCCACTTAATTGATAATAGATTTCCTATTTTTGTATTTTTTTTCTTTTATTTATATTTTCAAATTAAAAAGGGGATAATACAATTTTATTATTAATTATATATCTTATTTATATTCTAAATAAATTATCCAAATAACAAGAAACTAAAAGGGCACTCAGACTATAAATCTATTTCTACAACTTTTGGGCCAATAGGGCCAAGCTTAATTTTTTTTGGATAAAAGGACATTATTTCTCTAAAAGGACATTTATTTGTCTAGAATGGACACCTATATGTTCAAAACTTACTTATTTGTTTTTCTATTCAAATGTCACATATTTATCCAAATATCACGTACACATGTCATCTAACTATCAAATTATCTGTTCAAATGTTACATATTTGTGCATGTGTTACTTATCTATTCACATATCTGTTTAATGTCATCTATTTGTCCATCTCATTGCCACCGGCAACCGTCAACGACTTTCCTTCTCACAAAAAAAGAATAAACCTTAGACTAAAAAACATGACTAATAAGAATTAACTTTTCACCGATCAATCCAAAACAAAACTATTATCATTATTTTCTATTTATTTTTCTAATATTTTTTTGTTGATACCAGGGGTGCTCGTGAATCAAATTGGATCAAGTGGCCTCTCATTCACCTATAATTCTTTTATTTAGGTGAATTGAGAAAAATCAATCTGCATTCGTTCATTTAGTTAGTAGATGCTAATTGAGTGAGCCATACGAGTTGGTTGTTGATGCTGATCGACTTGGCGAATCAGACTTTACTGTTTTAGGCATTTTTCAAACTATTTTAAAGTAAATTTTTTACTACTATTTTGAGCCTTATGTGAGTCCAATATTTTTTGTTATAAAAATCAAAGTCTAACTTTTATATTTCATAAATAACTAATATTATTACTAAATAAAATGTCCTTTTTCTAAACATACACAGCATAAAAATATAACATCATTTATTTAGGGGGTTGGTGGATTAGATGGCCTCCCATCCACTTCCGTCTAAATATAAGCATATTTAGAAAATTTCCACCTACAACCGTTAGCTCATATTGTCGGAATCATCTAAAATGGCTGGATTAAGGCTTGGCTTGGGAACATGTTATTTTATTAATTTTTTAACTTTTTGATTAAAATATGAGATAAAAAAATTAGTATATTTACCCTCTGTTTGGAAAGTTATATTTGGGGTTTTTTTGGCTAAAATAGTTTTTAAAAAAATAAAATAGGCTTTTTAGTCCAATAAGATAAAATATGACATCCAATCCACATATTATTTCTCTCACAAAAGTCAAAAAAAGGTCAAAAAACTCATCTTAAACGAGACTTTTTATCCTCAAGTTAAAATAGCCAAAAAACTAAAAAATCAACCCACTTTCCAAAAAAATCCTTAAAATGACTTTTTAATTTTTTTTACAAAAATGCGTAAAAAATAAATATAAAAAAAACTTTTAACATCTTTGTAAAGACTGTTGACTTTTTAATTTTTAGATTAAAAAGCTTGTTATTCCTTATCATTTTAATATTTTAAATCACATCACTTTTTTATTTTTTTTAGGAAAATTTACCCATAAATCCTATTTTCTGAAAAGTTGAACCATTTAGTTCTAAAAGTTTTCTTATGCACCATTTAGTCCTATTTTATTTTGGTAATGTTGTTTATTTAATTTTCATTATTTACAGGTTACAATAGTACCCCTTTTGTGGAATGTTTGTTTCCTAAAAATCTGCAACATCAACATATATACCCATTTGAATGTTAAGACTCATTTATCAACATTATTCATCAGCACCAACATTATTTATCAAACAAGGATCGAACATCACTAACATATATACTCATTTGAATGTTAAGACCCATTTATCAACATTATTCATCAAACATTGATAATCATTATTCATCAAACATTAAGATCCAGCAAACATCAAACATCATCGCCAACATCAACATTATCAAACGTCAGACCTATTTGAATGTTTGATGACGTTTGATGCCGTTTCATCATCATCGCCGTTTTATTTGGCAGTGTTTGATGTCCTCGACAAGGATCGAACGTTGGACCAAGATCTCTGTCTCCGGCACCTGCGAGTCACGTTGATGATGGAACTAATGTTGATGATGTCGATCATGGCGCTGATGTTAACATCACAACATCATCATCAAATCGGATTGGCGTTGAGGGACTGATCGATTGAAGTAGAATTAGGGCTTTCATGTATGGGATCGTCGGAGGACGTTGAGGAGTCCAAATCGGACCCCATTGAAGAGATACTGCGAGTGAGAACAAAAGGGTAAACAACGTAAAACTATAATCAATTGAGTTGAGAGAGACACAGAGAGAAAGAGATAGAGAGAGAAGGGTTTTTTGGGGAGAAACTTTGTCTACCAGATGTTCTTCATGGTGATCTTGAATCTACAAATTGTAGTTGTGATGTGAAGAAGAGACGGCCTGACCCGTAGGTGGGGTCGTGGGGCTGTGTTATTGTTAGATCAACTCCAACGAATTGATGATGATGTTGTGATGTTTGATGTTGTTTTGATGATGATGTTTGATGTTGTTTTGATGATGATGTTTGATGTTATTTTGATAATGATGTCGTGATGTTTGATGTTATTTTGATGATGATGATGATGTATATGCTCTCTATGGTCAATTTTTGTATAATGGGACCTTTTAGTCTATAAGAAATTTTTTAGGACCAGTGTATAAATTGTTAATTTGGGATTTATTAGTGCATCACCCTTTTTTTTATACTTTCTATAAAAATTTTAAAAGTATATTTATTTAAATCATTTCAAGAATTAAATGGAGTTTATCAGTTTTAACAAGGCGGCTAAGGTCCTATTCACTGAAAGGATAGAGGGTCCCTGCTGTGCCCCCCTCCCTGCTGTTCCTGCTGTGCCGTATAACGGCACAGTTTCACCATTTTTTTTTTCTCTCATATTGTCGTTATGTTTTTTTAAACTCTAAAATATTAAAAAAAAAATTAAGAATTAAACCTAAACTCTAAACCCTAAAATAAAAAAAATAAATTTTAAAAATTAAACTCTAAATCCTAAATCTTAAAATAAAAAAATAAATAAATTTTAAGAATTAAACCCTAAACCTTAAAATAAAAAAAATAAATTTTAAAAATTAAACCTAAACTCTAAAATAAAAAAAAAATTAAAAATTAAACCTAAACCCTAACCCTAAAATAAAAAAAAATTAAATTTAAGAATTAAACCCTAAATCCTAAACCCATTTTAAAATAAAAATAATAAATTTTAAGAATTAAACCTAAACCCTAAAATAAAAAATAAATAGATTTTAAGAATTAAACCCTAAACCTTAAAATAAAAAAAATAAATTTTATTCCTAAACCCTAAATTAAAAAAAATAAATCATAAATCCTAAATCCTAAAATAAAAAACATAAATTTAAAAAAAAAAAATTAAATATCAAACTATACCATTTTACGGTACAACAGCACACAGCAGGGAGGGGGCACAACAGTTATCCCGCTCCCTAACTGAAAACATTGGGCATTAGAGAGAATCTCATCTCACCTCAATGATCTCATAAATTTGTACAAATACTACTACTTGGCAACGTGGAAGCATCACGCAAGAGCATGAAAACAACTTTTCATTTAGAAAAACAAAAATGCTAGAGGCTCCAAAAATTCTACCAAAAGTTTTACCAAATGTCTCACGTGGGACCCACATGGGACCCACATTGTGTGGATCCCACACCCATGTGAGACATTTGGTAAAACTTTTGGTAGAATATTTGGGATCTCTAGCATTACTCTTAGAAAAATGTTTGACAGTATAAAATTTTGTGATTTAAATAATTTAAATTTATCAAAATTATTTTACACTTAAAACGATGTTATTTTAAGTAAGTTAAATTTTTTGAGTCATAAAATTATAAATTATTTAACATTATTAAAATTTATGGTACAATCTAAATTCATAAATTGCAATCTTCAAAATACCAAATCAAATTAAGATGATATCATAACCAATCTAGATCTTCCCCTCTCTCTCTCTCTCTCTCTCTCTCTCTCTCTCTCTCTCTATATATATATATAAATAAAATCCCATTTACATTCTCAAATTTTTGTGCTAACACAAACCTCAAAACCCATCATCATCCTCTGTATAAAAAGCTGTCTGTCTGTCTCTCTCTCTCTCATGGAGGACGACGACGACGAGTTCGGAGATCTGTACACTGACGTCCTCAGACCCCTCGAATCCTCGGCTCTCTCTCAGAACCGCCCGATCGATCTCAACATTCAGAGCGATGATGAAGATATTCTCTCGGGAGCTCCTAATTCTAACCCTAATTTCAATTTCACCAGCTCTCACCAGAACCAAACCCTAGTTTTCAACTCCGATAAGGCTGCCCCCGAACTGGGTCTCGCCTCAAGTTCCGATTCTCATCGGAATTTGAATTTGAATTTGGATTTGGATGGTAAGCAGCAAAGTCAAGAAGTGGACATAGAAGAAGGTTTAGCTGAGGGGGTGAGTAATTTGGGGTCGGATTTGCCGGAGCCAAGTGTGCCTAGGGTTTTGGAGAGTTGCGGTGATGTGAAATTTCCAAACTTGATGGATGAGTCCGAGATTGATGTTGTTGTTGTTGAGGAGAGAGATGATAAAGATGATCTATTGGTTGCAAAAGATGAGGGTTCTATGGATAAAAACGATAATTTTGAGAAATTTGATGTACAAGAGATTAATACTGGGATTGGAGATTTGGGTTCGGAGCCACTGATACCTGGTCTATCAATTCCCGGGGTTTTGGATGCTATGGATAATCGAGGTAACTCGAATTTTGTGATGCGGGATGAAGCCAGCGCCGAGGGGGATGATTGGGACAGTGATAGTGAGGATGATTTGCAGATTGTATTGAATGATAACAACCACGGACCAATGGCGATGGGAAAGACTGGAGTGATGGGAAGTGATGATGAGGACGAAGATGGTGATCCTTTAGTTATTGTTACTTATAGCGAACCGGGTCATCAGCCAATGGAAGAGCAAGAGTGGGGTGAAGATGTAGCACAGGCGGCAGACGGTGAGAGAAAAGAAGTAGGTGATGCAGCCAAAGTGAATGGAGGAATGGTTGTTCCGCCAAAGATTGGGTACAGCAATCATCCATATCAGCCATATCATTCTCAGTTTAAGGTCAGTGATGTTGTACATGTGGGGTTTTGTGTTTTCCCCTTGTTTGATGAGAATTTGAAATGTAATCTGAATTGTAATTGTTGTATACTTAAAATGATACTGGGTTCATTAATGTTGTGGAAACATAGTGCTCACAATGTTGATCAATGTCCTTGTATATGCTTTTCAATATGTTGTTTGGAAAGATTTGAATAAAAACAGTGACCACAGATAGTGGGATTTATTATTGTACAGTTGCCATTTTTGCTTATAAAATGCAATTGCCTCCAAATTTACAGATTCCAAAGTCAATACTGTAATTAAGCAAAATATCCTTTTCCAATTTTAAAATGAAACTAAATTATTACCGCCGGGGTAACAGCTTGATGATGACGACTACTCCATATGTTTAGAATCAGCTGTACATGTGGATGTGCTGTTTATTTACTGAAAAATCTCTTCCAGCTTTAAACATGGGATGGGAGTCCCTTAATTTTATGGGCTGTACTATCTTAGATGCAAAAGCAGGTGGCAGTGGCATACTTGTGCTACGATAGTTCATGTTTGCCAGTTAATTTTGATTAAATCAGGCCTTGCTCACTGGACGGTTCTAGATTGGCTGAACAGTTTCGTGCAGTTTTCTCCGTGAGTTTCGTTGAGGCATAGCTTACCTTGGTAGTTGAAAGAGGCCACCAGTCTTGCATTTTTGGTGCCCACAAACCATGTGAATAATGCAATTTAAAAACAAGTTACTCTTGCTTGGTCAAGGCCAGATTATGCGATTAGAAAAAGCGCATCACACAGTTGGCTAAATTTATTCAAACTATTGCAATAAATTGTATTGATAAAGTTTTAGCAATTCCAAGATGTATAAACTTCCAAATTTGATTTTTAGCTAAGTGAATACATTTTGTTTTTATTTTTTTGGTTTATTTTCTTTCCAAATGCATATTTCAAGATAGTCAGGCAAGCACGCAGGCAAGACTTATGGAAATTGCCTTTTCTGCCTTATACGCTCCGGTAAATCTTCTGATTTACATGATAATGAAAAAAGTGTAAAAGCTATCATGGTCTGCACTCCTAATGTCCATTTCTTCTTGCTTTTTGGTCAGAAATGCTTTTCTCTTTATGGCCTTCTTGTGTAAATTATCTTTATTTTCTTTGTTTCTTTTATGAAATCCATTTCCTGTAAAGTAGATTTTAAATGCCTGGATGTAACTTGAAATAATTTAATGATCTCTATAATTCTAAACATAGTGAAAAGTTACTGTTGTCTTGAAATTGGGATGTTCGTGCATGTGGATGCTTACAAATTCATTATCTGGACATTCCATTGATTTTGTTTGATACTCATAACTGCAAAATTTTGCCATAAGATGTTTAAATCATTGTTATTGCAAGCTTGTGTCAATTAATCTCTTTTTCCTCTTTGTTAAGTGCTAGCTTTATCGTCAATTTTTTTATTTTTTATTTTCAAACTGTGCAGTATGTGAGACCTGGTGCAGCTCTGATGCCTGGAGCAGCTCCTGTTGGCCCTGGAGGAGCCCCAGGTCAAGTTCGTCCGCCAGTCAACATGGGACCTGTTGTCGGTCGTGGTAGAGGTGATTGGCGGCCAACAGGAATAAAAAATGCTTCTCCAATGCAGAAAGGTTTTGTTCCAGGGTTTGGAACACCTGTTTGGGGGAACAATACATCAGGACGTGGTTTTGGCAGTGGGTTGGATTTCACACTTCCATCACACAAGTAACCTTCATATAGTTGCACTTGCCAAATATATTATTTAAGTGCTTAATTATGCTTTGTTTTGATGATGGAATGTGTTATTATTAGTTGAGCATATTAACTTAAACAAATCTGCTATGGTTATAATATTGATGCTTCTTTTTAGAGTCTTGAATTTACTAGATCATGTCTAATCAACTAACAAATGCTAAAAGGACGAGTCAATTGACTTTGTTCCTTTTTGGGTTAAATACATAAATGATTCTTAAAGTATTTGTTTTGTTACAGTTTAGTCCTCAATCTTTTAATTGTTTTACTTTGATCCTCAAAGTATGTGATTTGTTACACCTTAGTCCCTAGAATCAAACACCGTTCAAAGTTAGTTACGTGGAGAAGGGGTTTTTTCATAATTTTACATAAAGTACAACAAAATTAACAGATTAGGGTAAAAAAATATACGAAAGTGCATAGCTTGGAGACAGATGAAATAAAGCGCATATTTTAAGAACCAAAATGTTACAAAATGCTTACTTTTAGATCATGCGTGTATTTTGGTCATTTTGATTTTGTTGAGTCTTCATGTAAAATTTCAAAAATATCCCTCATTCCCTTATTGTTTCGTAATGTATGTCTTTTGCCACTGAGATTTAAGGTTAGAAAGGATGATGTATTCTAATATAGAATCACATAAGGAGTAATGCTTTGTAGGCAAGGTTTCAAAAAGCGGTTGCAGTCACCGTAACGGTTGTGGTGACGCGGTTGCGGTTGCAGTTGCGGTTGCGGTTGCGATGTGTAAATGCCGTAGTGTAACTGTTGCGGTAACCGGAACCGTGAATTTTTTTTTATTTTTCTCACAATTTGAAAAAAGTTACTGATAAGCATATTTTATATTTTTCCAAAATCACATTTATTGGGGATTAAAATAGATTTTGATCAATTTTTGTTAATTTTTAAATATGATCCAATATTTTTCATATTTTTAAATCACTATAAAATGAGTTTTTTACATTTTATTTCAATAGTTAATGACTTTAAAAATAATTGATTTTAAATGTCTACAAAATTATTTTTGACCAAAACTTAAACTAACTAAATAAAAAATATTTACAATTAGTAAATGAAATGATTATAAAAATAAAAATTATGTCATAAACAAAAATTATTTGAGCTACTAATTTTATTTATTTTTTTAAAAGACATTTTTTAGACAACACATTATGGTAACAAAATAAAAAATATTTACTATTAAATATTAAATAAATGATTATAAAAATAAATGCAACCATTGTTTATATATTTTTTATTTTACATGCTAATGTAATGAAATAAAAATTTTAAAAAAATTATAATGAAAAAAAATTCATACAAGGCCTTTTCTTTGGGTTTGGATTAATTGAGTATTCATTCTTTCTTTGTAATTTTTATTTTATTTATTTATTTATTTTTTTCTGGAAAGGAAACTATTCAAAATATTGTAAAGGGTTGATTATAGTAACGGTCCCTATAGTTTGGGGTTTGTGTCATTTTGGTCCTGGATTTTTCAATTGTGACATAATTGACCCTGAATTTTGAATCTTGTTCCAAATAAGGACAATTGAAGATACTATTGGATTTTTCAAGGGCATAAGCGTCAATTTGATAAAATATAAACTAATTTGACAAAAATAAATGTCAAAAAAATATTTTTGAATTTTTAAAAATTATTTCTACCTGCTAAGGATAAAATTATGAAAAATTGATAAATCTTTTAGACATTTATTTTATTTTATTTTTTTACCAAATTAATTTTTATTATGTGTTTGGATGATAATCGTGTAATGGGTGGTTGTTTTTGTTTTCATTAAATTAGTTTATGTTTTTCCAAAAGTCAAATTTGGCGACAACTTTGATATCATTATTAAACCAATCCATTAAATAAAAAAATTCAAAACTAAAAACATTTCATATAGTAAATATATCGATTACACATTAAAAGCTTAACAACTATACATTTCATGATCATCATCTAAATATATAATAAAAATTAATTTGGTAAAATAAATAAATAAATATATGTCTAAAAGATTTATTAATTTTACATAATTTTATCTTTGGTGGGTTGAAATAATTTTTAAAAATTTTAAAAAAAAATTTTGACATTTATTTTTGTCAAATTAGTTTATATTTTATCAAATTGACGATTTTACCCTTGAAAAGTCCAATGGTATCTTCAATTGTCCTTATTTGGAATAAGATTCAAAATTCAAAACCAAATGTGTCACAATTGAAAAGTTAGGGACCAAAGTGACACAAACTCCAAACTATAGGGAGTGTTAGTGTAATTTGCCCTATTGTAAAAGTGTATAATGATGTGTAACAGGCCGTTACAGTACCGCTACGGCCGTTATGTAGCACCAAAATGGCCGTTACACATGCAAATTTCCGTCATACCGCAAAAGCGGGTGTAACAAGTAGCGCCTACTGTCGCAATCGTTACATAACACCGCTTCTTGAAACCTTATTTGTAGGTCTTTAGGATAGGCATGAGTAAGCAAATGACAGGTCTTGGAAAGTTCTTTATAGTAATACTATGGCAGTTGAACTTAAAATGATATGGTGATGATAATTTATGGCGATGAAACTACCTGAAGGGTATCATGTTTTGTTATCTTCTTGAATTGATTCAAAGGGAGAGCTTGGGAGCTATGTTACATGGACTTGGGTACGAGTGTTGGATGTGGATATGTATTTAGAGGTCAGACTTGTCAAATCATAAATTTAAGGGTACGCAGACTCGGTAAAAAAATATCATATTTTTATATTTTTTATCAAGTATGTGAGATAAAATGGTGTTATATATAATTTACAGTGTCAGAAAGCCATTTATAATAATTATACAACAATATGTATATATAATAATAGTATTATATACAATTATATAAGAAATATCCGACACATATTCCATACCTTTGTTCAAGTGTCGGGTGTCCGAAATGGGTATTTGATTTGTTTTGAAGAGTTCGTGTAACATAGCCTAGGAGAGAATATTGTAGAGGATTTCAATCGTAGAAGGATTGCTTTAGGATTGTTATGTGGTTGTTGTAACTATGCTTGATGGCATAAAAGGCGGGAAACATTAAAATATCACATTTGAAAATGAGGGTTGTCGATTAAGGTGAGAGATAGATTGGTAACATTTAGTGAATTGGGAGGTTGTTTCACTTCCAAGAATGATAGCAGGTCTCGCTATTGGTAAGATTGTGTCTAGAAACATTGCTTTTCTAAGAAAATGGTTATGGAAATTTCCTATTGAATGTGATTCATTATGGCATTCCATTATTAAAAGCAAAATTGGGTTCAAAGTAATGGCTGGGACTCTTACATTGGGAATCCATTTTTCGCATCCTTCCTCTGAGATAGCTGCTACTTACCTATGCAGATCGGTGGTTTCAAAGACTGAACTTCCCTAGCTCTCGTTGGGGCTTCGTGCACTGGAAAAATGCTCTAGCAACGAGAACTGGCCACTAGTTGCAAAGTTCCAATAAGTATCGAGAGGGCTATCACAATCAATCTCCATAAATAAATAAATAAAAAGAACATACGTACCTTAATCCTTTATCAGATAGTTTCTAGGGCTGACTGATACTTCCTCCTGCTCATTAGATCGCTCTTCCCTTGCTTTGCCTGCTTGCTTCTTTGCTTCCCCTTCGAATGGATTGATCTGCTGCCCCTCCAATATTTTCAAAGTGGGAAATTGGGTCAATGTCCGATTTTGGGAGGATGTTTGCGTGGAGGGTAATTCTACTTACACCACACTTCCTACTCTCCACACCCTTTAATTTAATTTAATTTTTATTATATTTCTATTTCTATCTAAAATAACCAAAATGAACTATCATCCCCAATTTGAAAACCTAATTTTTCATTACACACCCATCCCATCACCACCACCTCCACTGGCCCACCACCGTCACCGCCTCTCTGCCACCACCCTTCTTCTCCACCCAGCCCCTCTCCGCCTCACCCATCTCCTCCGGGGAGAGAAGATTTAGGTTCTGAATAACCGTAAAGGAGGCTCCTTTAAGAAAATTATTCTGAGATTGTGTTTGGCTGCAATTGTCTAGAGCCTATGGTCTGAGGGGAGAGTCAAGGAATTTTGCAAAGAAAGGGGGTAAATACTACCACTATAGCTTGCAGAATTGAGAATGATTTAAGGAATAGTCTGTGTTCCTTTAGAAATGTTAAAAATCCCTTTAACTGGTTGTGCGCTTAGAATGGGCTGTTTCACCCAAAAGATACTTAGTGATTGAGTTGTAGATGAAAGAGATTGACTATGAGAAATCCTAGCTTATTGTATTGTTTTGTTTTTTCAATAAAAAGTAATTTACCAAAAAAAAAAAAAAGTAATTTCTTGCAGCATTCAATTTCTACATTGTGCCGTGGAGTATATGTTTCACACTTAAGTTGACACATAAAAATCATGTTGAAACTCTGCTTGCACTACGACCTTTAAAGAGTAAACCTAAGTTCTTTTTCCTGAGATTTCTTTCAAGAAAACCTTAAACTCTGCTTGCAGAACATTGTTACTGTGAAGATATTCATCACATAGGTCGTGTTAAGAAGGTTCAAAAAATGTTGCCAAAGTATCTATAGAGTGTATGATAGAATTTAAGTTTTCAATTAAGACATGTTGAAGAAGTGTTAGAGACTCTTTTAGGAGTGTTGTGTCGGACATGACATGCCTCTTCCATAAAAGTGTTTGTGCTTCTTAGTATGCCATCTAAGATATCAAATGTCTTAGTCAAAGCCTCTCTCTCTCTCTCTCTCTCTACAACCGGTCCAGGTGGCGCCACCCTGGAGGGTAGACCAAGAAACCTTGACAGTTGTCCCTTGCTGCTAGACTTGAAGCCACATTCTTTAATCCCAATCAGATGTCCTAGGCATTGTTGCCAGCCTAGGTTAACACTTGAAAACCAGTTGAAGCTTGGATATCTGCTGGAAGGTCGCTTGGCCAATGAATGGTAGAGATGCTTGATCATTGTGACAAATTGTGAAGCCGGAAAGTTTCATTGGAGACTGATTTTTATGGGCTGATTTGTGGAGCCGAGCAACTGCATGGTGGCTGATCGGTGAGGGCGATTTGGTAAGCCATCGTTGGTAGCTGCTCGTTGTAGATGATCATGGAGACCATGTGACAATTGGCAGTTGCTCAGTGACACCAAGCAATCTTCGTGGTGATAAGATATTTCATGAACCAACCTTAGTCTGCTGGCTTGTCCAGGGATGTTCATGTGGCTTTGCATTATTGGTCCATGTGTCTAATCAAGAAGCAAACATATGGCGCATGGAGATGGACACTTGTACCTACACTTTCTAAACAAATATAGCCTTTTTTAATCTTCTATTGGTGCCACTTCCAACTTCCTACAAAAACATTATTTCCTATTTTGTCATCGCTTGTAACTCACTCATTATTTGCTGCCCAACATTTTGTATCTTACAACATTGCTGGCCTTGTAGCTGTCTCATAGAACTTTCTTTTCTACGAGTAGGGGATATGATATTAAAAAAAATGTAAATGGCCTTCCGAATCAGGACATCTCTTGACATTTTTTCTCACAACATTGCTGGCCTTGTAGCTGTCTTATAGAACTTGCGATATAATAAATAAACACTGTAAATGGCTTTTCCAATTAGTTAATCTGTTCCTTTGAAGGCTTCCCCGCCCTCCCACCAAAGAAGAAAAAAAAAAAAAATCCCATCTTACCTTCATGTTTTTTATCTTACAGTCTGGACTTAGCTTTTGCTGAATTCCAACAGTTATTCTTGATGAGTTTGTTTTTCATTTTTTGCGCGTTTGTAATGCGTTGCATTTTAGCACGGCAGAAGCTGCAGAAACAAGCATTGTTTCTGTTGCAGGAAGTTCTGGTTTACATAACTTCAGATGCTGTAACCTGCTTGTTGTTTTACTATGTATATATATATATATATTTTTTTTTTCATGTTGGAAATACATTTAAATGTGAAAAAATTTCTTCTGTTGACCTTCTCTACTATTCACAGGACTATATTTGACATTGACGTCAATAGTTTTGAGGAAAAACCATGGAGGCTCCCTGGTATTGATATATCGGATTTTTTTAACTTTGGTATGAATGAGGAGAATTGGAAAGATTATTGCAAACAGCTGGTAAGTATTAACCTTCATTGTGTCCTTTTCTATATTGATGGAAGCTGAGAGGATGCTGAATTTAAATTCTGCAGGAACAACTTCGCCTGGAGGCAACCATGCAAAGCAAAATTCGTGTCTATGAAAGTGGGAGAACAGAACAGGTATTTTAGTGCTTTCTCATAGTGTATCCATGACTATTAGTATCTTTCCTTGCCTAAGTCACCTTTTGTGGTGGCTAAAGAAACAAGCAAAGGAGTTTTTATCTTTTATTGCTCTCATTTCAGGAGTATGATCCAGATCTGCCACCAGAATTAGCTGCAGCAGCAGGTATTAATGATATCTCACCTGAAAATGGAAATCTTGGGAAGATGGATGCTGGACAAAGTGATATAGCTAAAGGATCTGCACGTGTGCGGCCACCATTGGTATGTGTTGGTGTTGATCTTGTAGTATTTTTTGTTTCTGTTTTTTTTTTTTTTCTTCTCTTTTTTCTTTTTTCTTCGTATTTTCCTCGTCCTGAAGATACCTTGGTCATTGTTTAGATTTTAATGTATCTAGTAAAAAAAATGGAACTCGTCAAATACATGAAGTTAGTTTCTTGTGCCAGTTTTTGGTTTCACTTGTTTATGTGATTTCCTACCAGCCCACTGGGAGAGCAATTCAGGTGGAAACTGGTTATGGTGAGCGTCTCCCGTCCATTGATACTCGGCCACCACGTATTCGTGATTCTGATGCAATTATTGAGGTGAGTGAGTGGTCAATCCGGTCCTTGAGCACATTGATATCAATGTTATTATTCTGATGATGTGCAATACAATTGCACAATGTTGTTTGGGAAACAGATTGTCTTGCAGGACTCAGCAGATGATGATTCCCTTCAGGGAAATGATGTCACAGAGCAGCCGGAAAATGATTGCTCAAGGGAGAATTTCAGAGGAGGCCATGAAATTGAACGAGATGTTGCAGAGGAAGATGCTGTACATTTTGATGGTTCCCCACTCGCCTATAATGGTAGGAAGAGGGAACTGATTGAAAGAAGAGCACCCTTCGTGAATTCTGTTCAGGATAACCTTACCGAAGGAGATGAAAATTTGCCTTTGCCCCCAGAAGCACCAGTTCAGTATCCCGATTCTAGGGGTCAGACGTCTACATATTCTGGTGGAGACACCCTCTATGAGGAGAGGTATGAAATGATGTTGGATTAAATTCAATTAATTTTCTTGAGGATAAAGTTCTTAAATCAATTTAACTCTCGCTGGCCTGATAATTCTTTGTACTACACATGGAAGTTAATTGGTCGAAGGCACTCAATTGACTTTTTGTTCATCTTTTTTTTTTTTGTCCCCTCTTTTGTAGACAAGCATTTTGATTAATATATGATTTATGTCATATCATATGTGCCAGTGAGCAAGGAGAAAAATGGAAAGATAGCAAATAACAAACTATGTGCTTATAAAAAGCTCATTTAAAAAAGAGAGAAACTGAATATAGTCTTATAAACAGTTGAATGCATGTTGTGGAATTGAAATAGAATGATAAGTAAATCATGTTCTTATTATGTTAACTGTCATTCTAGCCTTAATTAAAAACAATGTGCTTGTAAAATGCTCATTTTGTTCAAGAAAAATCAAGTAAAGAATTGAATGCCTGTTGAAGAATTGAAAGAGAAGCATGAAATGAATAATTTCTCTTCATAAAATCCATAATGCCTTTCAAGTTGTATGTAGTGTTAATTTGGTGGCCGAGATATCTAATGTTTTTATTGCTCAAATTAACCAATATCTTCTTCTAACGAATGGCACATCTTGCAATTATTCTTATGATTTTTTTTTTTTTTTTCTGTTGTGCAACTTTTCTATGATATTTATGTCGAATAAATTCACTTAATTTAAACTAATTTTCATTTACATCTGATGTTAAGTATTACCAGTATCTAACTTTCTTCTTAATCCAGGCGGACAAAGGGAAGAACACAGAACAGATCCCCCAATATTAGCTGTAGTGACAATCAGAAGGAAGGTTCAGTTGAAAGCATTGGTGGAGAACATAGCCCTCGATTATCATCTCCCGTCACTGTTGGGAGTGCTGAGAATCTTGATGCTGAACATGGTGATGGTTTGCATGATGAGCTGGTGCTGACTGATAGAAGCTCTGGAATGGATAGGGAGGAAGTGGCCTTGGATGCAACAACTACAACGGATACACACATGGGTAAAAATCCTTTGCCTTCTGTGAAAAAGCAAAAGTTAAGTTCTCGAGTTGAACAATCTTCTCTTCAAGAAATTGATGATGGATGGGACTTAAAGGCATCAAGAAGTAGTGAAAACAGCAAAGGAAGATCAGGGAGCAGCAGGGATTATCAGAAGCTTCATGATAGTGTTGACGAGGAAGTTGCTCAGCTTGGACGTTCTTCACGCATGGTGAATTTGAAGCGACCCCATAGTGAAGATGAGCAAAGTATCAGAAGAAGAGGTCATGACGAGAGACATAAGATGGTCAAACATCGTTTGGTGGAAAAAGGTAGGGATGATTCCTATTCTCGTAGGGATTGGGATCCTCACTTGGCCCATCAATCGCACAGGAAAACTGAGGGTATAGACAGGCGAAAAGAGAGAGAAGAGAGAGATAATTCGTGGCAACGGCAAGATGATGATCCACATGGTATGAGGATTAGAGCTGAAGACACAAGGAAGCGAGAGCGTGGTGATGAAATAGGTTCAAGGCACCGGAACAGGGTTCAAGAAAGTGAGAGGATAGACAAAGATGAACATCTTCAGTTGAGGAAACAGTTGGATAATGGTAATTTAAGGGCCCATCATGATAAAGATGTGCAATCACGACACAGAGAAAGGGATGATAATATGAGGAGTCGATATGAGAACATGGATGATGCCCATAGAAAAAGAAAGAAAGAAGAGGGACATTTAAGGAGGGACTCTGAAAAGGAAGAAATCTTGCGGGGCCATAGAGAAAACTCTAGTCATCGAAAGCGAGAAAGGGATGATGCTTTGGATCTGCGTAAGAGAGATGACCAAGTGAGAACTAGAGATGATGATCAACATTCTGTCAGGCACAAAGAAGAGAGCTGGATTCACAAGGAGAGGGGTGAGAGGCAGAGGGAGCGGGAGGAGAGGCACATGATCAAACAGTCACATGAAGAAAGTTTATCAAAGCGGGAAAGAGAAGAACGGGGAGGAGCAAGGAGTGCACAAGCTGCAGAAGACAAAGCATGGATTAGCCATGCTAGAGTGAAGGATGAGTATAAGGGATCTGATAGAGATTACCAATTTAAAGACACTGGGCGGCATGGTGAGCAACTTAAGAGGAGGGATCGGGTTGAGGATGGAAGTCTTTCGCAGCATAGGGGATGGGAAGATATCTATGCACGTGGAAACCAACCCAGCATTGATGAGAGAAGATCAAGGCAGGAAAGGGCAAGTACACGTGATCGTGCTGTGAGTGGTTCTGATAACAATAGGGCGCATGAAAAAAAACATAAAGAGAACACAAGGAAGAGTAAAGAATCTGACGGTAATGAACAAAACTCCATGGGCCCTTCAAAGAGAAATCAAGAGGAACAAAGTGGTCGGATGAATGAGCCGGTATGTTACATCTCTTGACACAATAATATGTCATTCTGCGGAGGAAAAACCCTCCCCCAGGTGTTGAATTATTATGGAATGAACTAATACTTTAGGAAAAGATTCCTTAAAAATTTCTACTCTATATTTGGTGTCTGACCCTGATGACAGCTAACCAATAGATCTGGGTGTAGATTCCTTGACTAAATATTGATTGGTTGAAGTATTCATTTCAGTTAACTTTGTGTATATGTGACAAAAGGACCACCAGGGATGGGGAGGATTTTGTCACATTTTTTAATTTATTTTCTCTGAAAATGTGAAAACATTTAATCAAGTGCATGTAGTCTCATCACGGTTTTTGTTTTAGATATAGGTATCAACTTTTGTGGTTTTAGTTTTCTCTCTCGTCTTCTCCTTTTACCATATCTTCTGCTTCTTCTTTTCTTTCCATTCTCCTTTTCTCTCTCTTCTCTGCTTTTCTCTTTCTAACCTTTTTTTTTCTGTGAGTGATCCATCAGTGACATATAAGTAAAAGGTATTTGCAGTAATACCTCTTATAATATTTGAAATTTTAGTTTTTTAATAGTCTGGGGTATCCCAAAGTCATTGATATATTGCTATAATTTCAGAAATGAAGTAAGAGTAGTTACTTTTACAACCCTTCATAACTTTTAAAGGGGCTCATATTTTGCCAATCCCAGTATTGGGATCTATACTTTTATTGTGCTTGTTTTGCATATCAAGTATTGACTTGAACAGATATGGCTAGTGTCCATTCAACAAACTTAAATTTTGCTAGATAAACTGTTCAAATGAAGCATTTAAATTAATTGTGATGTCGATGAGGTGGTACTCAATTACCAATCTATAACAACATAGGAGGGATACAGTCCTGACATTTGCTTGACTACAATCGAATTTTGAGGTTTGTAAGAATTACAATTTGCACATCAAGTGTAGTTGTAGTAGCTGCTATTCGTACATAAGGTGTAATTTTATCAGGCCCCTTTATTAAATTAGTATATATGCAGTTCTTCTATAAAGTATCATGTAGTAGTAAACGTTTATTCAGATCTACTTTTGATTGACTTTCAATGCTTCTTGTTGATTTTATATTCTCGTCAGCTTGCTTTGTTCACTGTATTTACAACCAAAGTTTTTAAAGGTGAATGCATAACTTGAGGCGTTTTACCCCCCATGAGGCGATGCTTACGCATTTCAAATTATAAATTGTAATATTTAGTAAATAAATTAAATATTATAAAATACTAAATAAATAAATAAATAAAATTAAGCACTGAACATTTCACTATAGAGAAGAAAGCTTGCTTTTATTGGAAGTGAAATTGACTTAGCTTTAGTGATTGAGTTTCTCACTTGAGCATTAATTTTGTGGTTTTTTTTATTATTAATCATTTACTCCTATAGATTGTAGTTGTGAAAGGGTTCTTTATTTTTTGCATTTTTATGTTTAAACCATTTGCTAGACAGTTTAACAAGAGCCTAAGGTGTATACTTCATATGCTTATGCACAAAAGGCATACAAGGTGCACCTAGGGCACATGCCTCAGATTATGATGCACAAGCTTTTGAGGGATATAGCCTAAAAAAAAAAGCCTTGATGCGTTTTACCTTAGCCTCAGGGCGAGTGAGCCTCAGTAAAGCCTTTTAAAACTTTTTTTCACAACACATGTTGATCATGTATACGTTATTCATCATATATCGGCTCTTTAGTCTACAGTCTACACCATTCAACGCAGTTTCTTTAAAAAAACTCTCAACTTTCACTGAAATTGTAAGAAAACTGAAATCAACATTGATGTTCATTAGTTGCGACCATGATCTAGCATGAGTCTGATTGATAATTTGATTTAAAACCAGGACCTTAAAGGAGATTTGAGGATCAGGACACAAAGACATTAGCTGCACTAACTATTGTTTGGTAAAATAAATTAGGTTACTGATAAATTTATTAGTGCATAGAAGATAGAAACAGGGACAAAAATCTATATTGAAAGAGATTCATACGCAGGGAAAACAGAAAAACAAAATTTGTTGATTAAGATTTTGTTTCAATTAGGGAATCTTAACTTACCCATTGAACTGTTAGCTTTGATGTTGGGAGGAATTTTATATTTGTTGCTGTAGTGTTCGATACTGCTCCCACCCATTCAGTAAAGTCATCATTTGATTGCACTGCTAATATCATTTTTTTTTACATGAATTGGTTATAGTTGAGACTGTTTGGTTATAGTTTTCATAGATTAGTATCTATGATGTCTTTTTTCTTTAATGTTGTCTATAATTGTTTTTAGACATTTTCATCCTTAGTTAATTGCTATAAAAGTATTTTCTGAAATGTGTATAATTACAATTTACAAACTTTCCTTAGTAACCTTTACACAACATTTCATCTATGCATGTAGATTCTGGTACTTTTTTTTTTTTTTTTTGATTGATGAAAAGAAGACTACATTGATGAGATCGATGAGTATATATTGATGTAAAACATCAAAAAAGAGTAATGCTAGATACTCCAAAAATTCTACCAAATGTCTCAGATGGGTGTGAGACCACACCCATGTGAGACATTTGGTAAAAAAATTTATAAAGAAAAGGCAAGTGCGGCAAGCGTCAAAGAAAAACTTAATGATCCCAACTAGGTTGGCATTGAGAAGCTAGCCCTATCATGTGTTAGCACTACACCAAAGGTTGGTGAGAAACCAACCGAAACAAGAACAGAATAACAGGATTTTTTACAACAACACAGTCACCCAACAACAGACCCCAAACCAACCATCAATAACAGCCTACACCTTCAGTAAATCATGCACCAGGTCTCATCCTTTCAGACACAAATTTCTTAGTCCAAATTTGCCAACAAAACCAGACCTGTACACCTTCAAAGACAATCCTTAATGCTCTGACAATTGAACATAAAATCATTCACAGAGAAATCTTTCAATTGCTTCATGGATTTAACCCGAATAGCCACATTTGAAATAATTCTTTCCTGAGCCTTGACCCAATCTGGATGACCATCATTAAACATTCTGGAACCTTATAGTTGGCTTTTTTAGTGATAGCTTCTTTGGGGTTGTTGATTATTTGTAAGGTAACAGGTTATCCAACTATACATTATTCAAATATGATGTATGTACTATGTAATAAGTGGTATTCAGCAGTTTCAGCTAAAATCCATCCCTCCGCTAAAAGAGTAAAGGTCAGTAACTATCAGAGGTAGTCCAGAAAATCTTACAATCATTTAACCAGTATGTGGTCAATCTCCATGCTAGGACCCAATGAAGTATCTTTGACAACATTACATTGATGTTTTTGACTATTCTACTTTCTTATGGATAATTGGAAATGTCCTAGAGAATTCAGCTCTATATATTTGTGGTTTTTCGCTTTTGATGATTATCATTGCCTTTGTTCAGATGAAATTGAAAGGCACAACTGAGCGCGCAAACTGTGAGCATGAGATTCTGCTGAACCCGTCACTCTTCCAAAAAACATAGGGAAGATGCTTCTTCAGATGATGAGCGACAAGATTCGAGAAGAGGACGGTCCAAATTGGAACGCTGGACAAGCCATAAGGAGAGGGATTTCAATGTTAACTCTAAGTCATCATCTTCCTTGAAGGTTAAAGAGATCGACAAGTTTAACAATGGTGGCTCTTCTTCCTTAGCCAGAAGGCTCCCAGATGAATCTTCCAAGACAGTTGAAACCGTTGAGAATCAACATCCATTGGGTGATCAAAAAGATGTTGGTGATGTGAAATGCTTGGATGATAGACACTTGGACACAGTGGCAAAGTTGAAGAAACGAAGTGAGCGTTTCAAGCTTCCAATGCCAAGTGAAAAGGAAGCCATGGTGATTAAAAAGATGGAGAGTGAACCATTGCCTTCAGCCCAAAATGAAGCCTGTGCAGACTCGGAGATCAAACCGGAGCGTCTAGCTCGGAAACGGAGGTGGATAAGCAACTAATTGTGAAATCAAGGAACCAATTTTCAATGTTAAAATGTGCCTCGTGTAGGCTTTTCGGGGCTAGTGGCATTACTATTCTGCAGCCATATACACTTTCTTTATTGTGTACATAACAGTGAATGTAACATTGTCCTTGCCATTGATGGTGACTCAGAATTTTGGTTCCTAGTAACAAGTAGAGTGTATTCATTTATAGAGATTGTATACCAGTTTTCTTGGGGGTCACTTAAAGGACCTGGTTGTTCCAATAACCATATCTGACCTGAACAAAGGCTGGCGCTCCACAAGGCGAGGCACTTGATTAATGCTGGCTGCGTCAAGTATCGGTATGGCATAGATTCGAAGAAATTTAATGCAGGGAACATTTAATTGAAAGAGAATGACCCCTCTACTCTGGAGTAGGAAAGTCATTGAGGTCGATGTAGATGGATGATCTGCACTTATTGTAGCTTGATTTTCTCTGTACCTGTATGATAGATTTTTTGTCACTTTGTTTTATTTTGATGTTCCTTTTCTGTGTTTTAAGGAACAAAAGAGATATAGAAGTAATTGAAGAGAGAGAGCAGGTGATTAGTTAACATTGACATTGAGGAAATGACCTAGTGCAGTGAGCCCCTTTTTCTTAGTAGATATAGCAAGTTTGGAATAATGGTATTTGATAGGATTGACTTAAATGCAGTTTTGGAACACTTTGGTTCTTTTTCGTGATGGATTGTGTGAATATATACTGGGCAATATATTTGCAATTATATGTTTCAAGAACCAACTCTCCAAAAAGTGGAGCACTCACTCTCTCTCACTCTCTGGTTGTATTCACAAAAGGAAAAGAGCCTTCTTTCTACTATTTTTATTATGGAGTTAAGAGAGAGAAATTAGGCAAAGATGTAGGCAACAAAGAGATAGTGAGAAATTACATTGTTATATTATGTTAGCTTAAAAGTCAATTTATAGAACAAAACTCCATAAACAAACAAAATTAAAAAGTCTAGTCTAAATTTAATACATACCTAATTGGTTAGACTATCAAATACATACGTCCAAATTTGCAAGATTTTTCAAAAGTCTATACTCCAAAAGTTTACTAGCCTAGACTTAGGCTTATAAATACAACTTGACAATGATACATGACACCTAGACATATATTTATGGAGGTTCTAACAAACTCTAACTAAGTTACAATTTTATACAAATATACATGACTTTCTACCTTCCTCGGTTTTCAAAGGAATAGACTGAAACAGATAAGATTTGGCTGATCTTTTCTGTCTTGTAACGTTGGCTGAAAGGATTTGTCTAACCACTTTTCATTTAATAATGTAGGTTGCTCCATATGTCTTGGATAAGGTTGGAGTTGATCATGAGACAACTGTATGTGATAGTGGGATCCACTATGCTTCCATCCTGTTGACGAGATTGTGATATTCTTCATCAATCTCTAATGGAGGGGAATCAAGATCCTGGATGTATTGTTCATTCCGAAATTGTTCTACATCATCCACGTTCATGGCTAGTTTTAACGGAGGATCCAAATTATTTCTCTTTTTGAAATTTAATAATATGTCCAGAGCGTCATTAATTTGTGTAGGAGACCTTTAATATGTTATGGGAAAATGAGTTACAAATAATATTCTATCATCTGTGACCATGAATAGCAATTTTGTTGAGCCATGAATATTAGAAGTTGCCTGTAAAACAGTTATTAGACTGTCTATCCAATATTCCGTCAAGAGAAGTTTGTGAATACTTTTCAATCACTCCCTCCTACGATCTTCATCCAAATAATCATCTTCAAATTCAAAATCTTCAGTTTCTTTGATATACCAAATTTGGTATGGTTGGAAAAAATATTTTCGTTCTCGCCAACAAATTGTGCTAGAGATCCAGAAAGTAAAATATTTACTCCATCGTAAGCCTTTTACTACCCATGAGAGCATTGCTTTTATGATCATTGGATATTCTATCCACTAGATTGGATCTAAAATTTGAAAAATAACTTGATTAGTTATACCTCAATCTGTTTCTTCAAAAAACATGTTATGGTTTGCCATGATGGTTATTTTGGAAATTCCATCTTTAAAATTTAATTTATCATAGGATCGTTCTAAAATTTGTCTAATCTTATCACAATGATCTTCAACTCGATTTTTGATTAACAGAAAATTTTTTTTTTGGAAGAAAAGTTCTTGCTTGTTCAAAAAGACAAATTCTTTTTATTTGTTCAAAAACTAGATCAGAAAACTCATCTGATATGAGGTCTGATGCTGAAGAAAATTATTTATTTTTTCGAAATTAAAATCTTCATTCCAATTCATTTGTTTAAGGATATTGAAACAAAGGTTTTGTACATCTTTTAACTTAGCTGTTTGCTCAACTAATTTGTTGGCCAAAACTCCCATGTGTTTTTGAAATTTTACTTTGTTATCTACAATGTGAGTTTTCCAAACTCCATTGAGTTTTGTATAAATTTCTCTGGATATAACAGGGTTGAAAAAAAAAATTATTTCAGATTCATCTGATTTAGATGTCTAAATATTAGTTGGAATTGTGTTAGATCTCATTTGACAAAATTATTTTGATAAACAGGTATAGCTGGTGCACTGTAAAAAGCTTTTTTAGTTTTGGTCATGCTATCATAGGATTTAAAACTTGCTCTTGGAAATCCGCAAACTTGCTTATTGCACTCATTCCATTCTGTGTAAATTTCAGGTTGTCTTTTTGCAAACACAACATAAACTTTTTTTGTCTGGGGGTTGCTTTTTTTGTAATTGTCACCCAATCTCTTTGAGCGGGTTGTTTACCCTTATCCATTTTTTTCTCTTGGTCTAGAGGTCTTCCGAAAAAATTAAAATTACATGTTTAGTAATTTAATTTTCTGAAACAATTCCTATTAAGAAAATTTGCAAGAAAATTGTTAGTATCTTTAAGGTATTCTACCTTAAAAGTATATTCAGAAATTTTATTATACCAGGATAATCTCCTTCCTTGCTCAATAGGTTTTTAATTGATCATGGAATCTCTTACTGTCTTATTATTAGTGCGTACAATAAATTTTTCTGGGGGTAAATAAGTATGAAAAACTTTTTATTGCCAATTTTATTGCAAGTAATTCTTTTTCAAAAATAATATATTTCTGTATATTTGGTTTAAATGTTCCAAAATTATATCCACAAATTAGTTCTTCTTTTTATAATTTTATGGGTATTAGATTTTTCTTGGTCTAATATCATTTTCTGATAAAGGTTTCTCTTTATCATGCCATAAGTTACTTGGTATTGCTTTAAGAACACATCCCCAGCATGCTTCTGAGGCATTTGTTTCTAAAATTAATTTATCACCTGTTTTAGGAAGATAAACATCTGGTAAAATTTTAACATTTTCTTTAATTTGTTTAATTAAAGCAACATCATTTACTGTCCATTCGAAAATAACATTTTTCCTTAATATAGTTAACTAAGGAATTTCTATTTTTGAAAAATTTTTGATGAAATTTCGTCCATAATTTAAAATACTTAATAAACTCTGTAATTGTGTTATATTTTCAAGAGTATCAGGAAAATCTTGTACTTCAGACAAAATATGTTCCTATAATTTTAAACTTTTCTGGTCTAAAATTATTTCAAAAAATTCAATTGATTCTCTTTCTAGTTCAATCTTTTTTGGTGATAACATAATTCCGTATTTTTGAAATTTTTCACAAAGTAATTTTAAACGTTTTTTTTGCTCCTCCCGGGTTTTAGAGAAGATAAGTATATCATCAATATAAACTACACAACAGTCTTTATGATCTTTAAAAATTGTATCCACCCACCGTTGAAATATCTGTGGTGCTATATTTAACCCAAAATGCATAACATTCTAGTGGTAATATCCTCTAGGTATACTGAAAGCTGTCAATTTTTTTGATTCTTCAGTCAATTGAATTTTCCAAAATCCACTCTTACAATCAAATTTGCTAAAGATTTTTTATCCTTTGGTTAAGTTAATCAAAACATCTTTTCGTGGAATAAAATATCCATCAAATTTTAAATTTTCATTTAGCCGTTTATAGTTGACTACCATTCGGGCTTTTCCTCTATTAATTTTAGCATAGTTTCTTACCATAAAAGCTGGACTAGAGTAAGGGCTTCTAGTTTCTTCAATTAACTTTTTGTCTAAAAGTTCCTAAAGTTGAATATCAAATTCGTCTATAGCTTGTCTAGTGTAGATCATTGGTTTTACTCTAATGATAATATTAGGGTCTTTTAATTTCAAACTACAATAACGTGAACTACGTTTCGTCATAGTTTAATGGATTTTCACTAAAATTTTCTTCTAGAATTTTATAAATCCAATGTGATTCATCAATAGTTTTGATGATGGGAGTTAAATCACCACGCTGAACGGACGCAAACTTTTTATCACAAATATATTTACGTTGTTCTAACAATGGAATATAAATTAAGACATTGTTTATGCTATAATAAAATGACTTTTTCCTATATTTGCATTGGAAGGTATTTAGATATAAAATTATTTCCAATAAGGAAGTCTCTATGCATATAAGGAAAACAAAGAATTTTTGGTATAATGGACTTGCTATCATTTAACCAAATAGCTATATTTTTGGCCTTGAATTGTATGGAAGTATGGTTTCCATCAATTCCAGTAATCAAAATTGAATGTTTCATTAATGTCTAATTTTCTTTTAGTATGGCATTCCATTTACATGAGCTGATTGTAGCTCTTGTGTCTATTAGAACACTGGGGGTTATAAGGTTTATAACCTGCAAAATTAAATGTTCCCAATATATATGTGTATCTTCTTTTTCCTTGGCTTGAAGAAAAAATAATATCATTATTTTTTGTTTGAAAATGATACATATATGCATACTTAATATGTTCATATTGTCTTCTTGTTCCTGAAAAAATAGGAATTTGAACATTTATTGAAGTAATAGATTCTTGATTAGAATTATTACTCGATTCACCAATGCTTAATTTTGAAAATGCTTTGTCAGAAAAATCTTTTTCAAATACAGAAGTTGATCTTTTAATTTTTGGAACTGTATTTTGAATATATAATTTTTTTTCTTGATGCTTGCATCTATATTTTTGTAGGATTTTTTGTTTTAGACAATTCTCCTTGCCCTACAAGGTCTTGGATTAACCATTGTTAAGGGACTTCTAAATCGCTCCAATTCATTAGATGTGGTTGGATTGCCATGTGAAATGGTCTTGGTTCAAATATTTCAATGATTTTATTATCGTTTGATATTGTTTTTGTTTCAGGAAATTTGGTCAATTCGTGAATTATTTTCCAACGAATAGCCAAATCATGGGAATTAGATTTCATTCCTAATCCTTGTGTTTTATTTCTTATTTTGACTGTGTCCTCAAGATTATGATCATTTATGGAAATCAAGAAATTTGGTATAACATTAAACCAAACTACTCCATTAGCCAAATTAGATTGAATTCCTCCAATGATTACTTTCATTGGGTCGAAAAATCTTTTATCAAAAATTACTACCAAAATAGGAGTATCTATCCCTTGGCGGAATAATGTTGTTATGATTACCTGTATTAATCCAATATGAATATATTGAATCTCAAGATATTTCTTTTTCCATCTTGCAACCTTTTTCTTATCAAAAAAAGGAATATCAATATTTCCTTCTTCTGACCTTTTTGCTTG